TCTTATCTCACAATATTAACCAAATCAACCAAACATCTACTGGCTAGTTTTATCATGTGACCTCCTGGCTTTTAATTTTACCATTCCATAAAATATTACCACCTGCACCATTCCTTGTAAATTAGATTTTGTACTAAGTATACATAAGATTTATTAAGTCCAAATAAAATTGTAAAACAGCTAACCACTATTCTATGTTTAGTTTTAAGTAATAATTACTATGTACTATTATCTTATCTAGTTTTAATTAGTTACTATGTATGAGGATTAGTTTGCCCGAAATGCCTCGGCATGATAGTGACTATCTTTGTACTTAGCAAATCAAAATTGTAATTATACATTGTAACCTTTACAAAGAAATAAACTTATTATTATTATTATATTTAACCAGGTCAGTAACAGATTCACAAATTTGGGTTCATTAGGGTTCTTTGTGCTCTTACACTTTCCGTCATTCTTTCTTTTTTTCAACGCACCTGCCGTATCCCACTGAGGTGGGGTGGCCCCCCCCCCAAAAAAAAAAAAGTTTCTCCTTTTAAATCCAGTAACATATACAGGAGAAGGGGTTACTAGCCCCTTGCTCCTGGCATTTTAGTTGCCTCTTACAACACGCATGGCTTACAGAGGAAGAATTCTGTTCCATCTTTTCCCAGGGAGGTAAGAGAATAAACAGACAAAATGCAAAGGATTTTGATGTAAACCAGTGTTATACTATTCTTTGCTTTTTTTAAGCATGCCGTATCACTAGGTAGGGGTGCAAAAAAAAAAGTTTCTCCAATTTACATGTTATAACATAAAGAGAAGGCGTAATCCCCTGCTCGCATTTAGTACTTACAACTCGCATGGCTTACACGCTGGAATGTTTCCCTTCCCGGGGTTAAGTCTGACGGAAACATAGGTCCGTACATCTAGTGTGAGAAAAAGAAATCCAGAGGGCTTTATAAGCAATACATTTGTTTGAATAATCTGGTTACTGTGTAGTGAGTGAACGCTACCTAAATTCCAGTTAGAGGCAGAAGTAATAACACCCATCCTACCATCATGAAACAATGTTTCACCTGTTGTTTTTACCACCACTTGCAGATGGGTACCTGGGTGCGCTTTTGTCATCGGAACAGGATCCAGATTCTAGTCTCAGGACAAGGATTCCGGAGCTGCTTTCCACGTGGAAGCAATCCAGGTAGAATAAGTAATTTGCTGGGAGATATTTAATATGACATTACATCCCAGGCTGGACTTTATATTATGTACATACATGTATGTATATATGAAAACAGATCCATATCACCTTTAAGGCACATCTCATTTCTTACCTCTCTTTTGACCTCTTTTGAGCCTGACCTCATGGTGTTCATTTGCTTTTCAGTAACTGAAGTGTAACCATAACACTTTCATAGGTTTTTCCACTGAAATTTGTTTACTTGACAAGATATGAAGCATAAAACTACAGTATAATAAGAAGTTTGGAGTTGTATAAAGCTGAATGACTTGAAAAAGGCTTATAGTCAAGTAGATAGTCTTTTGAATCAGTTTAATAACTTCAGCATTGACTATATATAGAGCACAGTTTCTGTGGTTTGAAACAAAAACTTTCTCCAAAAATTCTGAAGGTGAGAATAGGCTGCAAAGTTTTACTGTTCTTTCTGTTAAGAAATTTTTTTTCTTTGCAAAATCTTTAGAGCAAGCCAAAATTTTACTGCATAGTTAATAATAATTTTGCTAGAAACTCAACAAAAATTGCATTGAAGTATGCTTATATGGTAATTTAAATAAAAATGTATGTTACTACTTATTTCTTATTACATGATTCAATATAAACTGATGTTTATTAATATTCATTTTTCACTTTTATCAAAAAGATTACCAGATAAAGTTGCTTACCCTATGCATTTTGTCATGATGCACCACTAAGTAGTAGGTTGGTGGACAGCAACTCTCAGGGGAGGTACAGTACTACCGTTATGCCATATGAGAATGAAATGAAAACCTGTTAAAGGTTTTACATTGGGCAAAATTGCAGGTCTTTTCTTCCTGTCTCATGGACACGTAATTTGACTGGTAAATTTTGTGAACTACTTTCGTTCGGTATACACTTACTTTTAGAACTTATTATTCTTGTAATATTTCTTTTCTGGTGTAGGATGCCTGTATATATTGAGTTTCATGCATCAACAAGAAAATAAGGCCGGACTTGAGTCGTGGAGTTGGGAAGTACAGTGTCTGCACTCTGAAGGAGGGGTGTTAATGTTGCCGTTTTATGACTGTAGTGTAAAGCACCCTTCTGGCAAGACAGTGATAGAGTGAATGATGATGAAACTTTTTCTTTTTCAGGCCACCCTGCCTTGGTGGGAATCGGCCGATGTGTTAAAAAGAAAAAATTACTCTGAATATCTTTCTTATGTAGGCACTTTGTCAAATTATTCCTAGCAAAATATTTGCCAAGTCACAATGAATTACACAAGCAGCAGATACCTCCAGCCTCTGCATCCTGTTTTATGCTGTACTGTGGACTGGAACTAGCACAGGATCCATGAATGCTTGAGTGGGTTTGTGGATGAATTCAAACAATCCTGCCACGACTCGGGTTCTGAAGATAATGCAGATTTTGCAGCCAGAATTGTAACCTGGCAGCAGCTATTGTATGTCCCACCTGGCAGATATTGTTAGCCCACACTGATTCCCATGTAAGGTACATAGTACTACCTTCTTTTTTTTTTAACAAGTCGGCTGTCTCCTACCAAGGCAGGGTGACCCATATCTCTTTAAAATATGAAAGAAACTACTGTATCTTAGTTTCAGCCTCACTGAACACCTGTGGTGTGCAGCCATCTCCAATTATTTCCAGCAAAATAAAATGTTGCCTGTTGCGGGTTGAGAAGAAAGGAACTGTAATGAGTTTGCAGCGAGTACGTATATAACCATTGAATGGAATGACTACAGTATAGTATATTTGTTATACTACTAAAAGAAGAACTCCATTTCAGCCACTTTGAACACATCCTATGAGATGTAGCCACATACTTGACTTTTTTTTAACATTCTGGCCATCTCCTGAGGCAGGGTGACCCCCCCCCCCCCCAAAAAAAAAAAAAAAAAAGACATTTTCACCATTGTTCTCACGATCACTGTCTTTGCAGAGGCACACAGATACAACAGTTTAGATGTCACTCTAAACAGCGTATATCCCAAACCCCTCCTTTAAAGTGCAGGCATTGTACTTCCCACCTTCAGGACTCGATTCCAGCTAACCAGCTTCCCTGAATCCCTTCACAAAATATTACCCTGGTCACATTTGAATAGCTCAAGTCCCCAAAATCATTCATCTCCATTCACTCCTATCTAACACGCTCACACATGCCTGCTGTATGCCCAAGCCCCTTTTATGCAAAACCTGTTTTACCCCCTCCCTCCATCCATTCCTAGGATGACCCCTACCCCTCCTTCCCTCCACTACAGATCTATACACCCTCCAAGTTATCCTATTGTGCTCCATCCTCTCTAAATGATCAAACCACCTCAACAACCCTTCCTCAGTCCTCAGAATAATACTTTTAGTAACTTCACACCTCCTCCTAATTGCCACACTCTGAATTCTCTGCATAATACATGTATTTACCCCACATGTGTATTGCAATTAGACTTGACATTTCCACTGCCTCCAGCCTCCCCCTTGCTACAATATTCACAGCTCATGCTTCATACCCATATAATAATGGTGGTACCACTATGCTCTCATACATTCCCTTCTCTACCTTCATGGATAACGTTCTTTGACTTATTTGCAGTAAAATAGGCTGATGGATGTCTGCTTAATAAAAAAAAAAATTATGGCCATGTCCCTACTTTGTGATTACAGCATAGCAAATAATCCCCTAACTCCATATCTACATATATCACATTATTTTTCTCTCTAATTTTGAAAGAATATGTTCTTTTCTCTTTACTTTTGAAAGACTATGGTCTAGTTTCATGGCTGCTAAATACTTGCATTTGTGTGTAGCTATCATTTTCATTTATTTCAAGCAAATATTACCATAGTAAGTTATAATATGATGTAACTACTTCCAAGTGGCGTATTTGACTATCTGGTGTGATTGAGCATCAAAGGCACGGTATTTAAACAGAGACATATGAATAACACAGGAATACCCAACAGCCTTGAGAAGCATGATGCTGGGGATTTCTCAGAAAACAAGTGTACAGTATTTGAAACTTAGCATGTATGGTTTAATGAATTTCAGCTGTATTACTTAGATATGAGAATGGTTAACTATATGGTATAGAATACAGAACTGAATGTGATAGAATAATGGGAAATTAGGTGTTATCTTTCCAGTTGTACTATGATTTGTAGGTCAATGAGCTTTTTTATGTGGATAAGAATTTGCTCTAGGTACGTAATTAGGAAGTTTTGAAACTAGGCAAAATTAAAATAAATATCACTTTTTAGGATTAAAAATCAGCACACTATAAACTAAAGTATCAGTCAGTAGTTGGATATGAACTTTAAGAGCTTTCTTATGGCTTATTACAGTAGAACATTGCTGGTGTCAAGGGAGGCTCAAGCCCCCATAATTTCCATCAGCTCCCCCAAAAATAAATAATAATAATGCAGCTTCAAGGTAAGTCCTCTTTCCTCAAGGGAGATTTCTTGATGCGGATGAGGAGCTCCTGTGCTCCAATTCCTTGAATCAAGTCTGAATCCCTTCCAATTTCCCAGGTGCTGCATAACTTCTACAGGTTTAGTGCTCCCTCATTAATATAATAATACTAAAGGAAGTCTTCTAGGTCCCCATCACCTTCCAACTAGTCTGTCACCCCTATGCTCCTGCAGTTCAATGTTTTTTTTTTTCGAGGGGGAGAGAATAAGAAAAAATCTTCAAGTGTAAGATAAATGAAGAGTTTCTTGAGAGGTTAGCAGTAATGTAAAGTTATATAATTATATATTTATTTATGTATTGAATTTTCAAATAGTAATTTGTCATTAAAAACTATTTCAGACATATGTGGCAAATATCCTTATAGCAGTGAATCCCTACACTGATGTTCCCAACTTGTATTCATTGGACACCATCAGGAAATACCAGGGTAAATCCTTGGGACAGATGCCACCCCATGTTTTTGCAGTTGGTAAGTTAATAGGCAGCAAAAGTACAGTATGTAACTATTTCTTACATACAATTCACCAGATTGTTTTTAACCTCAACTTCCATCTCCTGCCAAGGCAGGTGACCCAAAGTAGGAAACACATTCCCTATCACTCATTCAATCATTGTCTTGCCAGAAGTGTGCTAACATCACAGTTTGGATGACCCTCATAACTCAAGCCTCAGTTTAGAGTTAAGATTTAGGTCTGGATCCCTTCACAAATGTTACCTTGCTCACACTCCAACAACACAAGTCATAAAAACTACTTGTCTTCACTTACTTCATCTAGCTTGCAGTTATCTATATTTTATAAGGAATACATAAATATATACTACATTCATAACTAATATAATATTGCCATTTGGTTTCAGGCCAGGGAAAAAAGTTCAAATAAAGCAATAATAAAAATACTTGACTGAGTCTATTATTTTTAACACGCCAGCCTTCTCCTACCGAGGTAAGTTGACTTAGGTCAACTTACCTCGGTAGGAGGTAAGTCATGCTAAAAGTGTGCTGACATCAAAGTTCATGTGACACTGAACTGCACCATTTTCAACTGTCCCTCAGAGTGCAGCCACTGTGCCTCCCTCCTCCAGAAATCAAATATTTCTAACTAATTTCCCCTGAATTTCTTAATAAGTGTTAACTTGTTTGCATTCCAACATTCTCTCAAGCCATAAAACTACTTGTTTTCACACACTCCTATCTAGCACTTACACAGGCTGGCTAAATACTTGTCACTATAACACTCAGAACCTCCTTACTCCTTCCCTCCATCCCTTTCTGGGATGACTTCTGCTTTTTCTTTCCATCCCATGAAAACTCTGCTACTTCTAGTAACAAGCTACCTATACAGTACCATGTAAATGCAGCATCTGCCATATTGCTTTCCTGTCTACCCTATCATATAAACAAACCAGCCATATCCCACCAAGGCAGGGTGACTTAAAAAGAAAAATGAAAGTTTTTCTTATATGCACTTGTGTTACTTAAAATAATCATTACATTTAGCAATCTTTTCTTAAGACAATTTAGTTTTTTTTTTTTTTAATATGTCGGCTGTTTCCTACCAAGGCTGGGTGACCTAAAAAGAAAGATAAAACTTTCATCATCATTCAACACTTTCATCACGAGTGATTATGAAAGTGTCTTTGCAGAGGCGCTCAGATACGACAGTTTAGACGTCCCTCCAAACTACCAATATCCTAAATCCTTCCTTTAAAGTGCAGGCATTATACTTCCCATTTCCAGGACTCAAGTCCGGCCAACCAGTTTCCCTGAATCCCTTCACAAAATATTACCCTGCTCGCACTTCAACAGCTTGTCAGATACCAAAAACTATTCGTCTCCATTCACTCCTTTCTAACACGCTCATGTACACTTGCTGCAAGTCCAAGCCCCTCGCCCACAAAACCTCCTTTACTCCCTCCCTCTAACCTTTTCAGGGATGACCCCTACCCTGCCTTCCTTTCCCAATAGATTTATACACTCTCCAAGTCATTCTACTTTGTTCCATTCTCTCTAAATGATCACACCACCTCAACGGCCCCTCTTCAGCCCTCTGACTTTTAGTAACTCCACATCTCGTCCTAATTTCCACATTACGAATTCTCTGCATAATATTTACACCACACACATTGCCCTTAGACACAACATCTCCACTGCCTCCAGCCGCCTTCTCACTGCAGCATTTATAACCTATGCTTCACACCCATATAAGAGTGTTGGTACCACTATACTCTTGTACATTCTCTTCTTTGCCTCCATGGATTATGTTCTTTGTCTCCACAGATACCTCAATGCACCACTCTCCTTTTACCCTTCATCAATTCTATGGTTTACCTCAGCCTTCATAAACAAGTCAACTCCCAAATACAGTGGACCCTCAACCAGAGATATTAATCCATTCCTGAGAGCTCATCGTTAATCGAAATAATCATTAGTCAAGTTAATTTTCCCCATAAGAAATAATGGAAATCAAATTAATCCGTGCAAGACACCCCAAAGTATTGAAAAAAAAAAAATTTACCACATGAAATATTAATTTTAATACACACAAACTGAAGAAGACATGCACAGTTACATGACACTTACCTTTATTGAAGATCTGGTGATGATTGATGGGATGGGAGGAGGGAAGACCGTTGATCTTGTTAGTGTTTAGAAGGGGAATCCCCTTCCATTAGCACTTGAGGTAGCAAGTCTTTTTCCGGGGTTACTTCCCTTGTTCTTTTAATGCCACTAGGACCAGCTTTAGAGTCACTGGGCTTTTGTGCACAACATATCTGGCGATAGAGGCCTGTACCTCTCGTTCCTTTATCCTAAAGTGTTTCACCCAACATTGTCAGTGTAATAGTCACCAGCACGGCTTGCAATAGTGTGTTAGGGTGTTTATTTTCATCAAAAAAAGGTTTGCACTTTAAGCCACATTGCACACATTTCCTTAATCTTTGAAAATAGGCAACTTCTTCAATTTCTCTTTCCCCTCCTCCCAAGCAGTTTCCCCCAGGTGTGGCCTCTTACTGCAGCTTCTAAACAGTCATCAGTGGTTTTTTTCTTCATTGTCCTCCTCCACCAACTCTTCCACATCCTCCCCACTAACCTCACCAATATGAGCACTAGTTCAGGCATTTTTTTCCCGTTCACATGGGTGTTAGTCAACTGTTTGGGTCGCATCCTGGGGGACAAGATTAAGGGGCCCCAATGGAAATAAGTTAGACAGTCCTCGATGATGCACTGACTTTCTTGGGTTATCCTGGGTGGCTAACCCTCTGGGTTAATCGTTTCTCGTAATTGTTTCACGTTAAGCCACACCAAACAACACTCTCTCCACATCTTCGAGTAATACAGCTGATGGTGGTGCAGCAACAACAACAGCTGACTGTGGTGCAGCAACAACAACAGCTGACTGTGGTGCAGCAGCAGCTGCACCTTTGGCAAGAAACAGCTTCCTTGATTGCCGTTTTCTTACCCACAATAGTAGCGATGGTTGATTGGGGTTTATTATACAACCTGACCAGCTCAGAGACACGCACTCCACTTTCATACTTAGCAATGATCTCTTTCTTCATCTCCATAGGAATTCTCACCCTTTTTGCTGTAGGGTTGGCACTAGAAGCTTTCTTGGGGCCCATGGTGACTTATTTTGCAGGTGCAATCACTACAAAGGCTGTGATAATATGAAATGTTCCAGTTGTTGTATGTTTGGAAGCGACCGCAGTGGCTGGCTGGCTTGTAAACACTGGCACCCAAGGGACAAGTGAAGTGCGCTCAGGCCAAAGTGGAAGCGTCTCGTACGGACCGAATAGCACTGGTCGGGTTTTTAAGCGCTAGTTGAGTCAAAATTTTTGCGTTAAAATGTATCGCTAGTCAGATTTATCGTTAATCGATGCCATCGCTGGTTAAGGGTCCACTGTATCTGAAAACATTCACTTCTTCCATATTCCCTCTCTCCAGTGTGATATCCAATTTTTCTTTATCTAAATCGTTTGATACCCTCATCACCTTATTCTTATCTATATTCACTCTCAACTTTCTACCTTTACACACCCTCCCAAACTCGTCCACTAACCGTTGCAACTTTTCTTTAGAATCCCTCAAAAGCACAGTATCATCAGCAAAAAAGTAACTGTGTAAACTTCTTTTTTGTATTTGATTCCCCATAATATAAAATCACCCCTCTCCCCAACACCCTAGCATTTATTTCTTTTACAACCCCATCTATAAATATATTAAACAACCATGGTGACATTACACATCCCTGTCTAAGACCTACTTTTACCGGGAAGTATTCTCCCTCTCTTCTACACACCCTAACCTGAGCCTCACTATCCTCATAAAAACTCTACAGCATTTAGTAACTACTTACTCCATATACTACTTGCAACATCTGCCACATTGCTCCCTATCCACTCTATCATATGCCTTTTCTAAATCCATAAATGCAATGAAAACTTCCCTACCTTTCTCTAAATGCTGTTCACATATATGCTTCAATGTAAACACCTCATCTACACATCCCCTACCCATTCTAAAGCCTTGCTCATCTGCAACCCTGCTCTGTCTTACCTCTAATTCTTTCAATAATAACCCTACCATACATTTTACCTGGTACTATACTCAGCAACTTATTTTCTTATAACTTTTACAATTTCTTTTGTCCCTCTTCCTTTTATATAAAAGAAGAAACTTTTAGAGAGGGTGTGGTAGGTAAGTTTGGGGTGCCAGGTGTAAATGATAATGGGAGCCCTTTGATTGAACTTTGTATAGAAAGGGGTTTAGTTATAGGTAATACATATTTTAAGAAAAAGAGGATAAATAAGTATACAAGATATGATGTAGGGTGAAATGAAAGTAGTTTGTTGGATTATGTATTGGTAGATAAAAGACTGTTGAGTAGACTTCAGGATGTACATGTTTATAGAGGGGCCACAGATATATCAGATCACTTTCTAGTTTGTAGCTACACTGAGATAAAAGGTAGATGGGATACAAGGTGAGAATTGAAGCATCAGGAGAAGAGAGAGGTGAAGGTTTATAAACTAAAAGAGGAGGCAGTTAGGGTAAGATATAAACAGCTATTGGAGGATAGATGGGCTAATGAGAACATGGGCAATGGGGTTGAAGAGGTATGGGGTAGGTTTAAAAATGTAGTGTTAGAGTGTTCAGCAGAAGTTGTGGTTACAGGAAAGTGGGTGCGGGAGGGAAGAGGAGCGATTGGTGGAATGATGATGTAAAGAGAGTAATAAGGGAGAAAAAGTTAGCATATGAGAAGTTTTTACAAAGTAGAAGTGATGCAAGGAGGGAAGAGTATATGTAGAAAAAGAGAGAGGTTAAAAGAGTGGTGAAGCAATGTAAAAAGAGAGCAAATGAGAGAGTGGGTGAGATGTTATCAAACAAATTTTGTTGAAAATAAGAAAAGTTTTGGAGTGAGATTAACAAGTTAAGGAAGCCTAGAGAACAAATGGATTTGTCAGTTAAAAATAGGAGAGGAGAGTTATTAAATGGAGAGTTAGAGGTATTGGGAAGATGGAGGGAATATTTTGAGGAATTGTTAAATGTTGACGATGATAGGGAAGCTGTGATTTCATGTATAGGGCAAGGAGGAATAACATCTTGTAGGAGTGAGGAAGAGCCAGTTGTGAGTGTGGGGGAAGTTCATGA